CTTCTCCCAGTACTCACCTGCTTCAGGCCCTACCTCAGCTTCTCCCAATACTCACCAGCTTTCCCTACAGGTGGGTTGCTTCATTACAAAGATAGAATGGGCTGCAAATGTGCACAAAAAGGTTTTTTTTTTTGAGGGGGGGGGTCAAGGGAAAGGCATGACTCAGAGTTAAACAGCCCCAAATCTTAGCTATGCCTGTGTAGCTTTACCATATAACCCATTGATAACTTAGTCTTATGGTGAGCTGGTATGCTTCAGTGTAACCATTTGTTGAGCCCTTATTCTGTGAGCAGAGTGGCATTATCCACTTAAGGAATGTAATCACATTTAATCTATATACGATCCCCATGAAGTCAGCATTACTTACAGAGGCCTGCACAGTAGTAATTGGAGGAGCTGGGATGCAAATTCACCTGTGGGTGAATTCAAATCAGCACACTCAGCATAGGAGCTGGTTCCATACCCTTATATTACAGGTGAGGACCAGACAGGAAAAGCAACCCATCCTGGGACACAGGGACAGCAGGTGGCAGGACGGAGCTGAGACTGTGGTCTCCTCACTCTGGGACCAGTGTTGTTTCCTACTACGTCCGTGGAAAATACGGCAAGAAAGAATGGCCAGTACTCCACATGCTGTTCCCCTTTCTGCTCAGGCTCAAGCCATCATGCAGTGAGGAAGTTACTTTCCGTACAGACCAGGCTTGTCTAATTTTTTTTGAGGAACCTATTCGATTAAAGAGAGCCCTTCACCAATCCATGTCCCATCAAATTGACTTAAATGAACACATGCTACGTAGATACACTTTCCCAGTCTATGTCCCACTGAATCTTCCATCTGAGATCATACTATATATCCATTCATTGAGCAAGCAATGGTGAAGTAACTCCTATGTGCCAGGCACTGTGCAGGTGCTGGGGATAAAGAGATAAGGAGAAAGTAGGACACTGAGCCAGTCTCTGCCTTCCCAGTCCTGAGGTCGACAGATAAGGTGAGTTCCTGAAAACTGCCATCATTGCCTTGAAAGTGATATGCACAGGGACACGAGAGCTCAGAGGAGGGCCCCCGTTCCTGCTAGGAATGGAGGAAATCCCAGAAGCTTTTCCAGATGAAGTGATTTCAGATACGGGCCCTGAAGTTCAGTAGAGGTGACTAGGTCAATCGTTAAAAGGTAGGTAGGTGTGTGTGTTGGCTCAGATGGAGAACAACGCTTCTGGTAAAGGGAGCAGCATGTGGTCAGGCTGTCAGTGGTGATCAGAATGTGATTTGGATATGCAGATTGGAGGGGAATTAGTACAAGTTCTGTGTGGCTGGATGGTAAAGTTTAAAGGGAAGAGTAGGAAGAGTGGAGGAAATGAGGCTGAAAAGGGAAGAGGGGCCAGGTCATGCAGGGAACTGAACACCGTGCTAAGAGGTTTGAATTTTGACTCTCTGAGTAAGTGGGATCCATTTAAGTGGGAGTGAGACTTAGTCTCATTTCCATTATAGAGAGCTCACACTGACTGCAACAGGGAGAATCCATTAGAGGGGCCAGAGTGGGAGGCAGGGGGTGCATTTAGGTAATTTTTTTTTTAAATTTCAAGACAAATTTCTAAATCCCCAGGGCTTGGTGATTTATTGAAAGTGGGAGGAGCAAAAGAAAGGGTGGAACAAGGACTATGGCTGGATTACTGCCCTGGCCAAAGTGGCTGGGTGTGAGAGGAGCACGAGAATGAGGAAGAAAGGTCTGAGGGGAAGGATCATGTTGACATGTTAATACGAGCCGCCCGTGGGGTGGAAATGTCCAGGAGGAAGTTGGATGCTGGATGCGTACGTCTGAAGCTTGAAGGAGAGAAAACCTTCCTAGAATCCTCTTTACTTATCAGAAAAGACCCCAACGCTGACAACAGTTTGTAATCTCATGATCAATGGTTGAAAGAATTAGAGCTTGACCCCAATTGTAGACTGGTGGTTTCAGCTTGTCATACGGCTCAGGGCACTCGACTGAGCTTCAGCATCCCTGTGAGCACTGGGACAGCTGAGAAGATCTTTGTCCTTTAAAACCACAGCAAATAAGGCAGTCCTCTTAACCTCTTTGATGGGAGTCCAGCACTCCCTCCTTGGTATATTTTTACTGAGTGCTTTCTATGTTGCAGGCATTGAGGATACAGGATTGGGAAGAAGGTTGCTGCCCTTGAGTGTCTCCAGGGCCACTGGGGCAGACACATCAGCGTAGGATTAAGATACCACGTTACAGGCAGAAGAAACTGGGGGTCAGTGTTCAGCGGGTCCAAGTGTTCTTCGACTTCGGCGTGGTAAATACCACTATGGAGTTGGTGCAGATAATTGTGGGATGGTTTTCGTTTTTCATTTTGGTGAATGATGTGCAAAGCTCACAACTGCAGAGAGACTGAGACTTCAACTTCAGCTTCGAAATCTTCACATTTTTCAATTTTATCACAATTTTGACTTCCTCTAGTTATTGGGAAGGGTGCTCCCTGGGTCAGCTCACTTGATGCTGTGTTAATGGTGATGAGCAAAGTAAAAGGAAGAATTGAGTGTGGTTAGAACACAGACAGACTGCCCTGTTCTACCTGGTACCGGGAGAATACAGAAGGCTTCCCAGGGGAAGAAATGGCACTTGTGTGCGTCTTTAAAAATGAATTCTGCACTTCAGGAGGCCAAGGCAGGAGAGTCACCGGAGTCCAGGAGTTTGAGACTACCCTAGATAATAGCGAGACCGTGTCTTTACAAAACATTAAAAAAATAGTTTGATCTGGTGGCATGTGCCTGTGGTCCCAGCTTCTCTGGAGGCTGAGGTGAGAGGATTGCATGAGCCCAACAAGTCAGGGTACAGTGAGCCATGATCACGCCACTGCACTCACCCTGGGTATCAGAGCGAGGCTCCGTTTCAGAAAAGAAAAATGGCCAGGAGACGGTGGCTCAAGCCTGTAATTGCAGGACTTTGGGAGGGTGAGGCGGGTGGATCACTTGAGGTCAGGAGCTCAAGACCAGCCCGGCCAACATGATGAAATGTCATCTCTACTAAAAATACAAAATTAACTGGACGTGGTGTTGGGCTTGTAATACTAGCTACTTGGGAGGCTGAGGCAGGAGATTCTCTTGAACCCAGAAGGTGGAGGTTGCAGCGAGCTGAGATCGCGCCGCTGCACTCCAGCCTGGGTGACAGAGTAAGACTCCATCTCAAAAAAAAAAAAAAAAAAAAAAAAAAAAGAGTTGGACTTCGTTTGTGTCAGCATCCATGGCTTTTGCGAATGCCAAGGAGTGAAGAGAAGTTGAGAGCAGGTGGTATGTGGGAGAGTGGGGAGAATTCTGAGCTGACAGCTCTGCGTGTCGTTCTGCAGAGACAGTCCCCGGAGGGGAGTGGCGGAGGCTGTAGGGAAGAGGTAACACGTGCAGTGTCCACAGGTTCCAGGCAGATAACATCAGTGAGAGAACTAGGTGGGGTGACCAACTGTCCTGGTACCTAGGACTGAGGGGTTTCCCAGGAAACGTCCCCCAGCCGACCAAGATGAGTTGGTCACCTTGGAATGAGGCCCGGCCTTGCCTGCCTAGAAAGGGCCTGCTCTCTCCATGGGGCAGCTCCTTGGAAAGGCTGGGATTGCTGGATCTTCCAAATGTCCAAGAGAAACTGAATATCCAAAATTTAATGCAAATTCTTTTGGTTTTTAAATGTTGACAGCAAATTCAAATGTTTTAGAAACATGATGCTGGCCAAACCAAACATTTCTGTGGGCTGCGTGAGGCCTGCAGTCTGCCCTTTTGAAGATCTCTGGCTACAGTGATGAAAGTGAAGCCTCGCATGTCCCACCCTGTTCCTGCCCTGAGGCTCCTTAAAGCCACATCCAGACGATTTTCATTATGCAGAGTGATTTCAGTGATCAGTCATTTGGTTTTTAATTTGATGTTCTAACCAGATTTGGATGCTGTGCACAGAATGTGATGGACAAAGCGGCAATGAATAGTGGTAATAGGGACATGCATTCTATTTGTTTTGAAAGATAAAATAATTGCTGAATGGCTTGTTCTGCCCCAAATCTGGAAACCTATTTGGTCAGAAAAATAAGAATGTATTTTTCAAATATCAGCCTTAAGGTTCTTGTATCTTGGGCACCTGGACAGCCCTCTGGCAAAATAAGGCTGGGAGAAAACAATCCCTTTGTGGGAAACTTGGAGGTTCAGGGGACTGCTGTTTGAAGGTGGTGGAGGGTGATAAAGTCAACTCAACACGGTGATCGCACGCCTGGGTTGTAATGTGACTGTGGGGAAACCCCCCAACCCCTGTGTGAAGGGGTGGCCTGCCCCTCCACTCCTGTGGGTGTTTCTCGTAAGGTGGAACGAGAGACTTGAGAGAAGAAATAAGACACACAGACAAAGTATAGAGAAAGAGAAGCGGGGGCCCAGGGGACCGGCGCTCAGCTTACAGAGGACCCACGCCGGCACTGGTCTCTCAGTTCCCTTAGTATTTATTGATAATTATCTTTACCATCTTAAAGACAGGGGAGTGGCAGGACAATAGGATCAAAGAAAAAGAGGAAATCGGCAGTAAGACATATGAACAAAAACCTCTGTGACATGAAGAAGTTTAAAGGAAAATGCTGTGCCTTGAGATGCATATGCAGACATCTCCATAAACCTTTTAGTAGCATTGTTTCAGTCTATCACATGGGGAGAAACCTTAGACAACACCTAGCTTTCTTAGGCAGAGGTCCCTGCGACCTTTGGCCGTGTACGTGTCCTTGAGTAGTTGAAATAAAGAGAATGGTAATGACTTTTAACCAGCAAGCTGCCTTCAGGCATTTGTTTAACAAAGACACACCCTGCACAACCCAAAATCCATTCAACCTTGAGTCACCGCAGCACATGTCTCTTGCAAGGACAAGGTTGGGAGTAGGGTCACAGATGAACAGTATCTCAAATACAGAACAAAATGGAGTCTCTTATGTCTACTTCTTTCTATATAGACACAGTAACAGGCTGATCTCTCTTTCTTTTCCCCACACCTGTGATCCGGGGTTTCCCCATCTGTGTGGCAGGGAGGCTGGCTTGCAGGATCGTTCCCAAGAAGCATCCACCCCGTCAGCTCTCTAACTCTGAGCTTTAACTTTGATTAGACTTTTGCTGGGATTTCTCTGGCCCTGCCAGGGCGACAGAGTCGGGAGATTTTGAGGAACAAATCAGTCTAAACAACTTTGACATCTTTTTTTTTCTAGGTGGAATTAGTAGATATGGGGCTTTAATAAGTTGATCTGATGTCTGGGCTCCACCAGGCCAGCACTCCGAATGGCATTTTTCACTGTGTCACTTGATTTTTCTTTGAGTGTGGCTCAGAATATAGATACGGGAGCTGGGTGCAGGAAGAAACCTTCAAAGGCAGGGGTTTTGCAGTCAGGGAACTAAACGCTCCAAGAGATGGGGGGTAGGGCATGTCGGGGAGGACCTGTATTCATGCCAAGCTGCAGTGTCACCTTTATTAATGATGACGGGGAGAGGGAGTCTGGGGACTGCAGAGGATGGTCATCGGCAGGTGTTACTACTTTTCCAAAGGACAGGGAAGTGGGACAAACAGGACTTTAAGAGGTGAGAGGTGAACAAAGGGAGAGAAAGGCAAAAAAAAAAAAAAAAAAAAAAAAATTGAATATGATGTCATCTGGAAAATGGCAAACAGATGAATCCATGAAGTGTCACTCCCAGAGCAGGGAGGAAGCTTCCAGAGAAGGAGCCAGCCTGCCGGGGAGCTGAGGCCTGAAAGGAAGCACAGGCTGGGTTGGCTTTGCAGTGCCCTAGCCAGGGGTCAGCCACAGCTGGCACGTGAGCCCAGGCGTGGACTTCCACTTTCTTCTGGCCCTTTCTGCCCAGAGCCCCCTTTTGTTTTTTCATGAAAGACATCAGATGGAACGCTCTATCTAGAAGGCTCTTTACCAGAGCTCGTTAATGTGAACCATTGGAGTCAGCTTTTTAAACAGTTCTCTGAGTTCAGCTTCGTAGGATTTTTCTCCTCATGGGGATCAGCTTCATAAAAGCCAGAGCATGATGATTCTGCCAGTTTTTGCTGTGAACAGATGAAATAGTACTCCCTTTATGAAAATGAAGTGCAATGACTTCAGGTAGCTTTGTTTCCAGGCATTCACGGCCGTCCTCATCGTGATCCGTTTCCGTGCGCTGTCCTCTTGTGGCCAGCCTGGTTGTTCACTGCTGCTTCCACTGGGTTTTCCCAGCTTCCCTCACTGGGACCAATGCAGGTGTTCACAGCTTTGCACATTGGGCTCAGGCCATGGGTTCATAGCCGTCTTCATCAGAGAAATCCAAGGTGTTCACAACTGTCCTTTCCGGGTGCAGCTGAAGTCGCCCTCACTTGGACCCAGCCCAGGTGTTAATAGTCGTCCTCATTGGGGTTAGCCCAGTTGTTCACAGCATCTTTCTCGGGGTGGGGTTAGGTGTCGAGAGCCATTCATCTTGGGCCCAGCCAGCTGTTCATAGGCATCCTCATGGGGGCAGGCTTGGTCTCTCACAGTGGCTCTCACTGAAACCAGGGCAGGTGTTTTTGGCTGTCTTTACTGGATCCAGACTAGACATTCATAGCTGTGCTCATGCGACCAGCCACAGTGTTTACAGCTGTCTACATGGCAATCGTCCCTGGTGCCACAGCTGTCCTTACTGGCTTAGCCCAAGTGTTCTCAGCTGTTCTCTTTGGACCCAGGCCAGGTGTTCACAGCTGTCCTCGCTGGCCCTGCCCAGGTTTTCATGGCAACTGTCACTGGGCCCAGCTCAGGGGTTCACAGCTATTTACTTAGGGCCGAGCCCAAACACTCCCAAGTTGTCCTTATAGAGCCCAGCCAAGGCGTTCACAGCTGTCCTCCTCGGTATCTAGCCCAGGTGTTAGTACTTGTCCTCACTGGGCCCAGGCTACGTGTTCACAGTCATCCCCATCCAGGTCAGCCCAGGTGTTCACAGCCTCCCTCGTTTGTGTGAGCTCAGCTCTTTATAGCAACAGTTTTTTATAGCTGTCAGTATGAAGGCAAGCCCAGGAGTTCACACTTCTTCTCACTGACATGAAGCCCAGGGTAAGAGCCATTTTCATTGGCCTGAGGCCACCTGTTCATCGCCATCTTCATTATGTCCAGCCCAGGGTTTCCCAGCTGTCTTTATCCAGGCCTGAACCGATGTTCACAGTGGTCCTCATCTAAACCAGCCACGGAGTTCTCTGTCCTTCACATGACAGCCAGCCCAGATGTTCACAGCCGTCCTGATCGGGCCAGCTAGTTTGTTCACATGTGTGCTAATTGGTTCCAGCCACCCTCATAGAGGCCATCCCAGGTAATGACAGCCATCCATACTGGGCCCAGCCCTGGTGTTCATTGCTTTCCTCACAGGACTTCTCCCAGTTGGTTCCAGCAGTTTCCATAGTCCCAGGCCAGGGCTTCCCAGATGTCCCCCATGAGGACAGCCCATCCGTTCACCATCATCTTAATTAGGCGCGGTGCAGATGTTCACAGCTCTCCTCATTCAGCTCAGCCAAAATGAACAGAACTGTCCTCCTGAGCACACACCAGATGTTTCTAGCTGTCCACATTGGGGTCAGCCCAGGTGTTGATAGCCATGTGTTCTGGGCCCATCCCAGTTATTCCAGGCTGTCCCCTTGGGCCCAGCCCAGGTGTTCACAGCCATCCTCATTGGTCCGGGCACAGGTGTTCACAGCTATCCTCCTTCGCCCCAGGCCAGATATTCACATTCAATCTCACTGGGCCCAGCCAAGGTCTGCAATGCTTTAATTACCGGGAGTAGCTCATGCTTTCACACCCTTCCTCACTGGTGCCTACTAAATTTGTCAAAGCTGTCATTGGCCGCTGCCAGGGGTTCCTTCAGAACCTCATCCCCCAGGAGCTTGCTACAAGTGCCAGAAATCTGGCCACTTGGCCAAGGAATGCCCGCAGCCCGGGATTCCTCCTAAGCCGTGTCCCATCTGTGCGGGACCCCACTGGAAATCGGACTGTCCAACTTGCCCGGCACCCCCTCCCAGAGCTCCTGGACTCTGGCCCAAGGCTTTGACTCCTTCCCACACCTTCTCCGCTTAGTGTCTGAAGACTGACGCTGCCCCATCGCCTTGGAAGCCTCCTGGACCATCACAGACGCTTTGGATAACTCTTACAGTGGAGGGTAAGTCCGTCCCCTTCTTAATCAATACGGAGGCTAGCCACTCCATATTACCTTCTTTTCAAGGGCCTGTTTCCTTTGCCTCCCTAACTGTTGTGGGTATTGATGGCCAGGCTTCTAAACCCCTTAAAACTCCCCAACTCTGGTGCCAACTTGGACAATACTCTTTTAAGCACTCCTTTTTAGTTATCCCACCTGCCCAGCTCCCTTATTAGGTCGAGGCATTTTAACTAAATTATCTGCTTCCCTGACTATTCCTGGGCTACAGCCACACCTCATTGCTGCCTTTTCCCCCAGTTCAAAGCCGCCTTCGCATCCTCCCCTTGTATCTCCCCACCTTAACCCACAGGTATGGGACACCTCTACTCCCTCCTTGGTGACCGATCGTGCACCCCTTACCATCCCATTAAAACCGAATTACCCTTAGCCCGCTGGTTGCCAATATCCCATCCCACAACACGCTTTAAAAGGATTAAAGCCTGTTATCACTCGCCTGTTACAGCATGGCCACCTAAAACCTATAAACTCTCCGTACAATTCTCCCATTTTACCTGTCTAAAAACCAGGCAAGTCTTACAGGTTAGTTAAGGATCTGCGCCTTTTCAACCAAATTGTCTTGCTTATCCACCCTGTAGTGCCCAACTCGTACACTCTTTGGTCCTCAGTACCTTCCTCCACAACTCACTATTCAGTTCTTGATCTTAAAGATGCTTTTTTCACTATTCCCGTGCACCCCTTGTCCCAGCCTCTCTGCTTTTACCCCAGACTGACCCTGACACCCATCAGTCCCAGCAGCTTACCTGGGCTCTACTGCTGCAAAGCTTCAGGGACAGCCCTCATTACTTCAGCCTCCAAGCTCTTTCCCATGATTTACTTTCTTTCCACCCCTCTGCTTCTCACCTTATTCAATATATTGATGACTTTGTAGTCAAAGACTTTGTACTTTGTAGCTCCTCCTTTGAATCTTCTCAACAAGACACCCTCCTGCTCCTTCAGCATTTATTCTCCAAGGGATATTGGGTATCCCCCTCCAAAGCTCAAATTTCTTCTCCATCCGTCACCTACCTTGGCATAATTCTACATAAAAACACTGTGCTCTCCCTGCCGATCATGTCCGACCAATCTCTTAAACCCCAACACCTTTTTTCTACAAAAAAACTCCCTTTCTTCCTAGGCATGGTTGGATACTTTCACCTTTGGATACCTGGTTTTGCTGTCCTAACAAAACTATTATATAAACTCACAAAAGGAAACCTAGCTGGCCCCATTGATCCTAAATCCTTTCCTCACTCCTCTTTCCATTTCTTAAAAACAGCCCTAGAAGCTGCCCCCACACTAGCTCTCCCTAACTCATCCCAACCCGTTTCCATCACACACAGCCGAAGCTGCAGGGCTGTGCGGTCGGAATTGTTACACAAGAGCCAGGACCGTGCCCTGTAGCCTTTCTGTCCAAACAACTTGACCTTGCTGTTTTAGGCTGGCCCCCACGTTATTCCTGATACCACACCTGACCTCCTTGACTGTATCTGTCTGATCCACCTGGCGTTCACTCTGTTTCCCCATATTTCCTTCTTTCCTGTTCCTCACCCTGATCACAATTGGTTTATTGATGGCAGTTCCATCAGGCCTAATCGCCACTCACCAGCAAAGGCAGGCTATGCTACAGTATCTTCCACATCTATCATTGAGGCCACCGCTCTGCCCCCCTCCACTACCTCTCAGCAAGCCGAACTCATTGCCTTAACTGGAGCCCTCACTCTTGAAAAAGGACTACACGTCAATGTTTATACTGACTACGCCTTCCATATCCTGCACCACCCTGCTGTTATATAGGCAGAAAGAAGTTTCCTTACTATACAAGAGTCCTTCATCATTAATGCCTCTTTAATAAAAACTCTTTTCAAGGCCGCTTCATTTCCAAAGAAAGCTCGAGTCATTCATTGCAAAGGCCATCAAAAGGCATCAGATCCCGTCACTCAGGACAACGCTTATGCTGATAAGATAGCAAAAACAGCAGCAAGCTTTCCAACTTCTGTCCCTCAGGGCAGTTTTTCTCCTCACTTGGCCACTCCCACCTACTCCCTCACTGAAACTCCACCTATCTCTTCCTGCACAAGGCAAATAGTTCTTGAACCAAAGAAAAGATCATCTTCCAGTCTCACAGGCCCATTCTATTCTGTCGTCATTTCATAACCTCTTCCATGTAGGTTACAAGCCGCTGGCCCACCTCTTAGAACCTCTCATTTCCTTTCCATCGTGGAAATCTGTCCTCAAGGAAATAACTTCTCAGTGTTCCATCTGCTATTCTTCTACTTCTCAAGAATTACTCAGGCCCCCTCCCTTCCCTACACGTCAAGTTCGGGGATTTGTCCCTGCCCAGTACTGGCAAATTGACTTTACTCACATGCCTCCAGTCAGGAAACTAAAATACCTCTTGGTGTGGGTAGACACTTTCACTGAATGGGTAGAGGCCTTTCCCACAGGGTCTGAGAAGGCCACCGTGGTCATTTCTTCCCTTCTGTCAGACATAATTCCTCAGTTTGGCCGTCCCACCTCTATACAGTCCAATAACAGACTGGCCTTTATTAGTCAAATCACCCAAGCAGTTTCTCAGGCTCTTGGTATTTAGTGGCTCCTGGTTTTACCTCAATCTGCCACCCTTAAGTCTCTCTTGAAGTGGATAGATCTTCAGTGGCAAGGTACCCTCCAATACTTTCACCCTGATGAAGTCCTATTCTTTACTTTTATACTTACTCTTATTCTGGTTCCCCTTCCAATGCCACCCTCTACCTTTCCCCAGCCATCTCCACCACACTATCAAACTTACTCTTTCCTAGCCGTTTCTAATCCTTCTTTAACAAAAAAATGCTGGCTTTTCATTTCTCTTTCCTCCAAAATTGCTGAGGCCTTGACTTACTGCTGAAAAAAGAGGACTCCATATATTTTTAAATGAAGAGTGTTGTTTTTATCTAAATCATTCTGGCCTGTTACATGACAACATAAAACCCAAGGATAGAGCCCAAAAACTCACCAGTCAAGCAAACAATAACGTTGAACCCCCTTGGACACTCTCTAATTGGATGTCCTGCGTACTCCCAATTCTTAGTCCTTTAATACCTATGTTTCTCCTCCTCTTACTTTATTCGGAACTTGTGTCTTTCGTTTAGTTTCTCAGTTCATAAAAACCGCATCCAGGCCATCACCAGTAATTCTATACAACAAATGCTCCTTCTAACAACCCCACAGTATTGCCCCTTACCCCAAAATCTTTCTTCAATTGAATCTCTCGCACTGTAGGTTCCTGTGCTACCCCTAATCCCGCTCGAAGCAGCCCTGAGAAACATCGCACATTATCTCTCCATACCACCCCCCAAAATTTTCGCTGCCCCAACCCTTTACTGCTATTTTGTTTTATTTTTCTTATTAATATGAGAAGACAGGAATGTCAGTCCTCTGAGCCCAAGCTAAGCCATCATATCCCCTGTGACCTGCATGTATACATCCAGATGGCCTGAAGCAACTGAAGATCCACAAAAGAAGTGAAAATAGCCTTAACTGATGACATTTCACTGTTGTGATTTATTTCTGCAGTACAACTGATCAATGTACTTTGCAATTTCCGCCACCTTTAAGAAGGTTCTTTATGATCTTCCCCACCCTTAAGAAGGTTCTTTGTAATTCTCCCCACACTTGAGAATGTACTTTGTGAGATCCACCCCCTGCCCCTAAAACATTGCTTTTAACTCCACTGCCTGTCCCAAAACCTGTAAGAACTAATGATAATCTCACCACCCTTTGCTGACTCCTTTTTTCGGACTCAGCCCGCCTGCACCCAGGTGAAATAAACAGCCTTGTTGTTCACACACACACACACACACACACACACACACACACACACACACCTGTCGTTGGCCAGACCCCATTGTACACAGTCATCCCCATTGAGCACAGCGCAGGTGTTCACAACTATCCTCATCGGACTGAGCCCAGTTGTTCGTTGCAATCATTACTTGGGGAAGTCCAGGTTTTCTCATATGTCCTAATTGGGGACCAGCCCAGAAGTTAATAACCCTTTTCATCTGGGCCAGCACGCTCAGGTATTCACAGCTATCCTTGTCCTGATCAGTCCATCTGTTCAAAGCTGCCTCCTGGGCCCAGCCTAGCAGCAGTTTTCAGTGGGCCCAGGCCATGTGTTCATAGCCGTCCTCTTCTGAGAACACTCAAGTTTTCATAGACATCCTCATTGTGTCCAGCTGATGTTGTCCCCGGGGCAGGGGGCGGGCTCAGCCCAGGTGTTAATCATCCTCAGTGGGATTAGCCCAGTTCCCAGCGGTCTTCATTGGGGTGAGTCCAGATGTCCGTCAAGAGTCATCCATATTGGGGTCGTTGAGGTGTGTGTTCATAGCCATCCTCCCAGCACAGGTCCATGACTTCCCCTTGTTAGAGGTGAATGTGATCCTGGGCATCATTTCTCTGGGGGAAAAATTGGCCTCTCTGGGGCTCCAGTTCCTCTCTGCTGCTGGCTCTCCTAGGCTGCCAGTAGCATATCACACTTCTCCTGTGTAGAGGGGGCAAGGGCACCCCCTTCACACTTTCCCCATGAAGCTGAAAGTAGCCAAATTCTCCCTTAGAAGAAGTTTACTTCTTCTTTGAGTAAACATAGAAATAGATCTTTCCAGTCTCAAAGAAAGTTAGATTTGTTTCACTGGAGTTGGTTTCTCCACCCAGGTCGAGTGGAGTGTGGAGTGGCCCACACCCATGTCAACCAGTGGCTCTGAATTGTTGATGGGCAACACCACTAAGGTGCTCACGGCCACTCTGTGTCCTCCCAGTTCCTGCTGAGGATCCCCTGGAAGGCCTCGCCAGTGAGCTCAGATGAGGATGCCCATGGCATTTGAAGGTCAGGCCACCTGGTTTTATCTGAGAGAAAGTTATTTTCTTATTAAGATATGATCATATGTATCATAGGTGACTTGTATGGTGTCCTTGGTGGGGGAAATTCTGAATGAGCGTCTGTTCCCCACTGAGGCTTGACTTAAGGCAGCAGGAGAAAATGACAGCATCAGCCACACACTGAGTGGCCGTGAGCTTTTCCCTTAGCAGCTTGATTCTCCCCTTGGGGCAAAATCACTTAACTGCCAAGCAACATGTCCTTGAGAGGAAACATCCTCCAGGAAAAACTTTAGCATGAGTCGGTTCGTTCTATTCTTCTGTGTTCCTTTGAACACGATTTCCCATCTGGTTTTCTAATGTCACCAAGTGAAGAAAAGACGTGTGCACACAGGACACAGGATGGTCTGAAGCTCACAGTGTCTTTCTGTAAATGCAGGCCAACAAATGCGCCAAAGAAAAAGGTGTGTGTTCTGGAAGCACTGCTTTCTAAGGAGAGAGCTTTAGTGCTGCCAAAGGTAGCACTTCCTAGCCTGCTTTTGCGGAGAGCCACTTCAGTTTGAGCTTCCTGACAGAAATGAGGTTTGGACAGTTCGGTGTAGAAAACACTGAGTCCAATAAAGAACTGTGACCATCCACTGGAGTCTAGGGAGGCCAGGATTGTCAAGTAGATGGAATGGTGTGTGCATGTGGGGTGGGGAGGGAGGCAGAAAAGTGTCAAGTAGATGGGAATAGTGTGGTGTGCATCGGGGTGGGGAGGAGGAGGCAGGGATTGTCGTGTGGGTGATGGAATAGTGTGGGTGTGCATGTCGGGGTGGGGAGGGAGAGCTGCAGGAGTGTCAAGTAAGATGGAACTTAGTGTGGTGTGCATCTGGGTGGGGAGGAGTGATTGGGAATGTCTCCAGAGTGCATTTCCCCAGAAAGCATGTTTCCCCATGCAGGCACAGCCCAGGGAGCACTTTTCTTAAAGAATTGCGCCACACCACTGCACACTTCACATAATTACAACATTGATCCTCCACCACAGTTGTCCCTGAAGGTAAATTGTACATCTCCACTGTTCAGAGGTGGTACAGAGATGAGTTTCACAGGCTCTCGATCTCCCTACCGTGGAAGAGGCGAATGCCGAACTCAGAATGGATGGAGGATTGATGCAATGGGCTACTGTTGTGCACTCACCAGCCAACCCTGGTGGTGTAACTCGTCATGCCAGGGAATTCTGCATCTGTGTGTGGAAGGATGAGGAGCCTAGACAGGCAGGCCCCAAACACTGTCGGTGTAGGGGAGGGTCTCAAGGTTCCCTAGCTTGGGGTAGGAATAGTTACATTTTCACTGGACTTTAGTGTGATCATTAATGTGAAACACACATGAAACTCTGAGCTGTCCAGCAGCAGTGGTGGGGTCATTTCTCAGTTGTGGTCAAAGCAGAGAATAATCAGGGACCTGCTCTATTGTGTTTAATAACAGGATCATCACAAGCCTCAGAAATGCTCCAGTTAGCCCAGGTGGGTGGCTCACACCTGTAATACTAGCATTTTGGGAGGCGGTGAAGAGATGGCAGGTCAGGAGGTGGGTAGCCTAGGCAACATGGTGAAACCCTGTATCTATTTAAAAAAAAAAAAAATTAGCTATGTGTGGTGGTGCACCTGTAGTCCAGCTACCTCCGGAGGCTGAGTGGGAGGATCACTTGTGGCCCAGAAGGCACAAGTTCCAGTGAGCAAGAGATCATGTTACTGCAGTCCAGCTTGGGTGACAGAGACCATCTATCAAAAAATAATAATAATAAAGAGGAAAAATAAATGCTTTAGTTGAGGAGTAAACACAGTGAAGACCCAGCACCGAATATGGTTTCAAGGAACAACGGGTGTTAGCTACCACCCATCTCCCCCTGCACCGGCTGGTTTGGGAGAGAAGTCCGCACCACTGCTGCCCCCATGATGGACTGTCCCAGTGTCAAAGTCCCTGGTGTGAGCAGCAACGGACTCCGACACACAGACATTGCATTGAGAAGGCTGAGTGCCAGGACGAATGCTTGCTAAACAGGAATTATCTTTTCGTGAGAAGATATCTTCGTATTTTTTTAAACTTTTGTTTTTATTATCTTTAAAACAAAAGATTAGTGAATATATAGAATATTTTGGCTAGAATGAAATATTCTTAAACAACAGTTTCTTTTTACCAAGTACTGAAATATTCTAGAATGACAGATACACACAGAAGTAAAGATTGGTAGATTCTAGGGAGAAATGACCTTGGAAAGAGACTCAGGAAGGGAGAGCAAGTGAGCTTGGGTCCGATTGAGAGGAGGCAGAGCCTGAGGCTGCAGCCACCCTGGAGTGCTGTGCCCTGTTCAAGATAAGGCTGTTTTACTGATGAGGCGGCTCAGGAGCTAGAAAGCTGCCTGCTCCTCCCTGCACCTGCTGTGATCACACTTTGTCTTCCTAGATTCCACCGAGGACCCAATGGAGGAACACCTCAGGGAGAAGAAAAAGGAGGCCCCATGGACCCCTGCATTTGTCTGAGGAATACAGTTGCTTTCCTAGCTTTATCTTTCTGAATGAGCCTACGAGATGAGAATCTGGCCATTATGTATTATAGGCGACTTACACCGTGTTAATTGTGCTGTAGGGTGAATTCTGAAAGCGAGAGCCTGTTCCCACAGTAGAGGCTTACTTTTGAATACTTGAGATAAAATAACCCATCAATCCTTACGGTGTGGAGTGAGCTTTTCCTTAGCGGCCCGGTTCTCCTTGGAACAAAATTGCTTAATTTGCCAAGCCACATGGACTTGGAGAAACATACTTCAAGGAAATTGTGTCTGTAGCGTGGGCGGTTTGTCTGTTCTTTTGTGTTCCTTAGACTTTAACACAGTTTTCATCGATTTCTAATGTCACCAAGTGAAGAAAGACCTGCACACACAGGGCCCACCAGCACAGCCTGATGCTCACAGCAATATGTTTTCTGTTATTGAGGAAGTTTCGAGTCAAGGAGAACAGTGTATGTGGGGCAATCCTCCGTGTGGATGAATAATCCAGGTGATGAGGAATGTGCCACTGTCTCGCTGGCTTTCCTGTAGACAGGCAGCCGGAGCTGAGCTTCCTGTTGTGACTGAGGACCCAGGCTGTGGTGGGAGAAGTGGTTGCTCAGGTAGAGGAGAGACGGGCACATTCTGCAGTCCCTGGGAACTGCTGCGTTCTCTCTATGTGGGGTGGCGTTGTGTGCATGGGGCTGGTATGTGGGCCAGAATCCTGTTTAACTGGAGGGCCTCACAGCTCTGGCCAGGGCAGCTGCTTCACACTGGTTGCAGCAGAGGTGGGAGAGGATCCAGTTCCAGTGCGGGATGAGGCTAAGCAAAGGAGGAGCTGCCCCAGGCGAAAGATTGTTCCTTGCAGTCTCCCCGCCCATGACCCACTTAAGATGTCACTTTTTTTGCTTGTTTCTGTGAGATGACTTGGACTCATCAGTGCAAAGTCTGTGACTTGCCACCCATGGGTGGAGGATCCTGGCCATGGCTGGTCACTGTGAGGGTAGAGTCGTGTCCTCCTTGTTCCTTCTCCTTACCAGAGCTCAGCCCCGGGCAGCCCATCTTGGGGCCCCAGTGATGTCTAGTACACACAGCCGAGGCGCTGAGATAGACCACAGTGTGAAAAGAGCTTCCTGCTCACCCTCTGCAGTCTGCTGAGCCCCACACATTTCCAGGTTCCTGTGTGGATTCTGATTCAGGGTCAGGGGGAAGTGCCTGGGCTCCCCTCTCTGTCTGCTGTTGTGGTCCTATCTGCTCCTGGATCGTGAAATTAAGAGTTAAAATAGTAAATATTGTGTGTAGCTCACCATATTTTAAAGTCCATTAAAATAACTGCAGTAGGAGCATAGGTATTTTTTAGGAAGGTTAAATGACATAGTAACATTTTATGAAAAGAGGATATTTACCAGGCTTCTTTCTGTGAGGAGAGCCTGTCCTGGAGTGATGTCCTGCATTTGTGTGCTGCCTGTGTGAACACACTGTCTACTTCACAGTGATGAGGGTGGCTTAGCCAGAGCCCGAAGACTCTGTCTCCCAGGGCTCTCTCCTGATGGTCTCCTCTCCCTCCCTTCCACCACCAAGGAGAATTAGCCCAAGCAGCAGCTTGAAACCACGTGCTCTCACCCACCTCCTCCACACATATAGCCCTGTGTGATCAGCACCCAAGACTGCCAGAGGAGGTCCTTCCAGCTCCCGGCTGCAGAGACTCCTATGTTTCCTGGCGACGATGGCCAGTGAGATGTTTCCAGAAGTGACCCTAGCTCTTCACCAGGTAAAGTCTTCTTTCTTTGTCTAAGATGGGAATTTTATTTCTCTTGGCTTCTTTCCATTTTATTTGCATTATGATATGTAAATCTCACCATGAAGTATAGATGAATTGCAGAAAAGATTTCTTGGTGGAGCAAATGCCAAAGTCCATTACCAACTAAGCCCTGATTCAAGATGGCACCCTTAGGTGACAGCTTCAAGACGAACTGCATGGCAGAGGGCATTTTCCTCATGAGAAATGCTGGCTTTTAAAAAGAATGTAGAATTTGCAACCAAAAGACGTTGGTCTAGATAGAAGCAGCTGGACCCCATAGTGTGGCACGTGTTCGTTTGAACATTCTACGGTGACCTGCACACGGAGTCGTCTGAAGATGGAGCCTGTCTGACTTGTGCTTTTGCCATGGAGTACTGTCTTTGCTTCATCTATGTTGAGGTCATTTCCTTTCCTCAGTCCCAACTGCCACTCTGTGAACTGCCGTTTCACACTGTGCAGAGCCAGGAGACCAGTGATGAAGACGGGAGGCGACCTTTGCTGCTGTTCTCAAGATGTGCTCATTTCCCTCTTCTCACTGCAGTTTCTTCAGATCAGCCACTTGTACTTAAAAATGTCTCTGATTTATTTTATTTCCCCAACTCCAGTTTGTCTATAGATGTTCAAATTTTAGAGTTTTACGACTCAATTTGGCATGTTCTTGATTTTTCTATCAAGATTTTTGCCGTAAACATTTTCACCACTGTTGGGAAAATGTCCTGTTTCCCATGCCAAGTTTATGCAGGGTTTTCGCTAGAATAGATCCGGAAGGAACACAGCAGCACTGCCTTCACCAGATCCGGAGAATCTTGATACCAAGTGCGATATGAGACAATACATGAGAGGAGATTACAGGCCAGTCTTCAGATAGAGACATCCAAAGCTGAAACCAAATATTAGAGCAGGCTGAATGCAGAGACTGCTACAAACAATGATGAGTTATTTCATGATTTGAAACAATATTGCCTCGATTTAAAAGTTTTTGGGGATTGTTTTAAAGAAAAATTTAAAAGATAAATACAACTGAATGAATGTAAACAGTTATAAAACAAAAAGTTATGGGGTGGTAAAGAAGCTTATGAAACATGTTTTATAACCTCATAATTTCTAATTAGCTGTTATGATAAAACTGGGATAGATTTGTTTATAAGGTCTTATTAAATTAGCTACAATTTTAAACACATATGCTAATATCAAACTAGAATTTTACGTTGAAAAATAAGCTGTTCTTAAGATATGAATTTGTTCTCAATGAAAATACAAGAGGTAACAATTTTTTCATTCACAAGTCTATTTCTTCTTAAAACTTCTCAGACTGATGCCTCAGAGTTCGACCTTTACTGTGTTCTTCCCATGCTGTTGAGTCACACATCATTGTCTTCTATTTCTTTGGGAAAAGTTGCATCTTTGTACTTCCTGGGATGAGAGAACTCTCTTTTTATTTATTTTTTTCCTGTTTGTTTGTTTTGAGACAGAGTCTCCCCCTGTCCCTTGAGCTGGGTACGTGCTTCAATCTGGCTCACTGCAACCTCCTTGAATTTTCATCAGCTCTGTCACTAACCCGGGTTCTAATTCTGTCACTGTAACACCAACACGCTTGCCTTCAAGGTCTAAAAAGCTGACATTGGTCTGAGGCTGTCACATGGTTTTGTGCTGCCGCGAAAGCTTTGGTCTATCTGGGTTGTCTCCTGCAAGCCCAGGCGGAGGCGTCGCCACTGCTCACGGTCACCTCCTTTCTCTTTCCTCTCTCCTCTCTCTGGCCAGAGCTTCACAGGTTTACCTTGGCCCATTTCTGATGAGGAATTTAGGCATCCATGGTCAATGAACTCTGGTGCTGGGGAAGAGGGACGCAGGAGCACCTCCCCAGCCTGGGTCCTCCCGGGTGCTCAGCCCCTTCTCTGGGCCAGTGGTGAGGGTCCAGGGTGGGAGCTGAGAGGGCTCCCAGACAAGAGGGAGGGTGGCCCCCAAGCCTGCCCATTCACAGGTAAAGCATCTGCCTCAGGCTCAGTGCCCTGGGGACAGCCTGGCCCAGGAGTGACACGTGGAACTGTGCTCAGAGGCTGACATAGGAGCCCCGGGGTCTTAGCTGCTTTCTCAGGTAGGACCCTTGCACACAGCCCCAGTGTCAGGAGCCTTGAGCTGGGTCTGGGGACCGAACCGAGGCATGGCCACATCAGAGGAGGCCTGAGAGGGCAGGAAGACATCCATGCCAGGGGTGGTGCAGGTGTGGCGGAAGTCAGGCTATGGCCCTTGCAACCCGTGTTTGCCTGTCTGGAGATCATCCTGATGGAAGCTGCTGTGCTGGGGACAGGGTGGAGGTGGAGAGGTGCAGGGTGGAGGCTGGGCGGCAGGGCAAGGGTCAACTATGTTTCCTTGTCCAGAACAGGACTCGCTTCCCCACGTCCCAGCTCACCCTGGGAGAAGGAACAGGGGCAGAGTGGAGCACAGCCCAGCCCTCACCTTGGCCTTCTCTCCATCCTTTGGAGTGGAGAGGCTGGTATCTGTGTGACAGCTCCTTCCAGGGGGTGCAGGAGACCATTTCTGGTGCTAGAGCTGTGCCCCCAGCCCCACCCTGGTTGTGCTGTCACCCCACTTCCCGCCTCTCACAGCTTTTTCCTTGTGGCCGACTTAGGAGAATCTAGAAAGCACCTGTGGGCAGCCCAGGAGCACTCCTGAGGTAGCCTCAGCTCCTGCCGGTCTGTGCTCACCCTGGGGAAGACAGCAGCAGAGAACCTCACAAGCTGTCACTTGGCAGGGAGGCAGCAGTCAGGGCCGGTCGGTGACTTCTTCCCACCGCCTGTGGTGAGGTGTGGGAGATTGAGAGCTGGCTACCGGACAAGGAGCATAATGTGGCCACAGGGGACCACAGCGGTGGGGCTGTCTCCCCCTGACCATCTGTGCCTGGGCCTGCCCAGTGCAAACTCTTCTGTGCTCTGTGGGGTGGAGTCTTTGGCCTGGGAGAGCCATGGTCAGTGTGACTCAGAAGGTCAAACTCCACAGGTCCCTGGGGTCTCACACCCAGGCACTGTGCCCCCTGGGGGTGGGAGGGGTGAGAAAGTCCCAGGCCTCCCAGAGCCCACCTGGCTCCCACACACACAGAGTGGCAGCCTGGCCCAGGCTTGGGGCTGAAGGAGGTGATGCTGTGCCCCCGGGCCAGGCTCCACCTCCCCAGGAGCCTCTCCTGACCCAGGCTCAGGACACTTGGCAGTGCCTGAAGTCACCTTTCCTCCCCACTTTGGTCTTGCCTCCCTATGGTGAGGCCCAGGCACATAGATGACTGAGCAGACCTGGACCTCCATGGAGCCTAGCCTCATAGGTGTATGATCTTGAGGCCTCAGGGACCCCGTTCTCCCTAGAGCCTGGGCTGTGAATCCTGTGGATCCTGGCTGTCCTCTCTGAGACCCCGGCTGAGGAGGGAATGCGTGAGCAGGCAGCGGGTGTCCATGTTCCCGCGGCTCCTCCCTAGCAGAAGGACCCAGGCGGGGAGGAATCGTGAGCGGGCTTTGGCAGGAGTGTCCATGTTCCCGCAGCTCTCCTGCTTGGCTTCTGCGTCCTAGAGCGGCGGCATGGAGATGCTGGGCAGGACCTTGAGGCGGCAGTTCAGGTGGCAACACAAAGTACAGCGGCCAGAGCACCACCTCAGAAGGTCAGCTGTGCCCCTGGACAGGTGTGCGCCCACCTGGCAGGATGGTGGATCATGCTTTCTCCCTCATACTGGGGATACCTGGAGAGGCCTGCCAGGGCCAGCTCGGGGGAGATGTCTCTGGCGTGCAGGACTGGAGTCCCAGGGCCTGGGCTGCCTCTCAGATTCAGCTGCTGGCAGTGGCACGCCACCATTCTGGCTCTGGGCTCTTCTATGCCCTGGGCTGCTGACGTCTGTGCCCTGTAGAAGCCCAGGGTTCCAGGGAGGTGGCTGAGGTCAATGTGGTCCCGGGCAGGAGGCAGGACAAGGGCCACATCCCGATTTGCTTCCAGTTCCCTCCTGTGCCTCTGTGACTCAGAAATTCTCTCCTTGTGTTTCAGAAGAGAAAAGAAACCATGTTATTTCCTAGAATGTAATGAATGAGCTGGGAGATGCTGGGGCAGGTGAACTTTTCCAGGTGCCAGGACCCAAGGGTGAGTGAGCTGGGAGGTGCAGCAGGACCTGGGGTGGGCGTCCAGTGGAGAGGGGGCTCACTGGGTTTCTTGCCACTAAAACCAGTACAGGGCTCAGCAGCCAGGGGCATTTAGTCCTGGGAGGGCCAGGGCTTCCTGATCTGCTCCACCTTCCTGCTGCTCCACTGGCCTTGCCTGTGGGGCATCTGCAGCACCCCCAGGAAGCCTGAGCCCCACTTTCCAGTCACTTAGCTGAGGCAGGGGATCTGGAGTGTGGCCCACTCCTGGGAAGCGGAAGTTCACAGGCACTCAGGGTGGGGGCACGATGCTCTGCCATCTCGTGAGGTCCTTGGCTGTGTGACCCAGCACCAGTGGGCAGCCCCACAGGTGATCTCTGCAGGGAGACTCCTCTGGCAGGTCACAAACAGGGCCTTCAGAGCCTTGGAACATGTTGACTGAGGAAAGACTCACATCTTGTTTACTCCCCCAGCCTCCCCCACCTGCATCTGCAAGGGGTAGGTGAGACCCGAACTAGGTGGCAGAAGCGCTGCCAGTCTCAGGAAGCGCGCGCCTGTCCTCTGTGTCCTGGCTGGCTTTGGCACAGCCTGGCATGTCTTCCAGGCCCTAGGGTTGGTGGCACACAGCACAGCTCGTGTGACCAGCCATTTGCGCAGAAGGGCACAGAATTTGAGGAGGCTGAGGCTTGAGGAACTTTGAGGCCTGGAAGGGGGGGCCCACCATCATTTTTGTCTGTGTTTCACAGGGTCACATCACATGGCCCTTCTCACTGCCAGGGAGGCTTGGGTACAAAGGACACAGGGGTGGGCCTTCGGGGAGGAGTTCTCCACTGCTGCGCTTCTGCCGTGTGTGCTCTTCTGTCCCTTGTCCTCATGTGAACAGCGGAGCTGGCGATGAGCCCAGCAGCTGGGGGTGCAGAGAGGGAGAAAAGTGTGTCAAATAATTATGGGTTCTTTTTTTTATTTAGATGAAATTCATAATGTAAAACTAACTTTTTAAAAAAATTTGGTGGCATTGGCCGTTCTCAGCCTTGCACAGCCATCGCCTCATAGTTCAAGACATTTCCATAACCCCAAGAGGAAACCCCATGCCCATTAAACAGTGGCATGCTCTCCCGGACCCTCAGTAACCCCCAGTCTGCAGTTCCATCTGTGGCAGCTCTTGACATTTCATCTGCATGGGCTTTTATCTGGCTTCCTGTCCCTTAGCGCCAGATCTTTAGGGTTTCCACCTCCCTGCTGTGGCCTGTGTGTTCGGGCCCTTTCCTGTTAGAGGTGGTGTCCATCACAGGAGGGTGTGGACGTGGGTACTTCCCACCCTTTGGTGGTCATGAAAAATGCTGCTGGGCACACTCTTGGTAGAAATATCCGGGTCCCTGCTCAGTACTTTGGGGTCACAGGTATGAAGTTGGCGGCCAAACTGTTTCCACGGTGGTTGAATGGCGTTCCTTTAACAGAGGTGCAGAGGGTCTTCTTTTATCAGGTCCTCAGCACCATGTGTTATTCTCTGGGTGGCCTCACCTGGCCATCCAGTAGGTGCGCATTTACTATCTCATGGCTTTGATTTGCCTTTCCCTGGTGACAGTGTGGCTGGGCATCTTCTGTGCTTGCCGGCCAGTAGCCTCTCTCTTTGGAGAAGCTTCCTTCTGACCTTGATCTGGCTGTCTCAGGGAGACCTCCACACCTGTGGGTGTGTGGCTGACTTTACGTGCATGGGCTTTTATCTGGCTTCTGTCACTCAGCATAAGATCTTTAGGGTTCCTCCCTGCTGTGGCCTGTGTCAGGCCCCCTTTCTGTTGGGGTGAATTGTCCATCACGGGGTGGACACGTGGGTGCTTCCCAGCCTTTGATGGTCATGAAAAATGCTGCTGGGCACACTCTTGTTAGAAATATCCAGGTCCCTGCTTTCAGTACTTTGGGGTCACAGGTATGAAATTGGCTGCCAAACTGTTTTCCACGGTGGTTGAATGATGTTCCATTTCCAGCAGAGGTACAGAGGGTCTTCCTTTATCGGGTCCTCAGCACCATGTGTTATTCTCTGGTGTGCCTCACCTGGCCATCCAGTGGGTGCGCGGTGCTATCTCTTTGTGGCTTTAATTTGCCTTTCCCTGGTGACAGTGTGGCTGGGCATCTTCTCCTGTGCTTGCTGGCCAGTGGCCTCTCTCTTTGGAGAAGCTTCCTTCTGAGCCCTCGATCCGGCTGTCTCAGGGGTCTCCTGTTGTGTGGCTGACTTTACATCACATCTGCGCCCAGGGCTGCTGAGCAGTGGTTTCATCTCAGGTGGCCGTCCTGCAGTGGAGCTGACTTCGCTGTCACAGCAGCACCCGGGTTTCTCAGAAGCAGCTTCATCCAGGGGCATCCCCATCAGTGCCTGAGCCCCAGGTCCCTGGTGGGAAGGACGTGGGTATATCTGTGTCCTAATGTGGGCATTGAGTCATCACACCCTCAGGTACCCTGAGGACATTGTCAGAAGACCTGACCCCGAGGACACGTTGAGTGCAAACATCCTGGAAGCAGTGATGTTACCACTCGTGTGAGAAGGGGCTGCTCAGGAACCACCTTGGAAAGGATGGGGGTTGGGGAAGGTGCCAGGGACCAACTCCATGATGAGGCAGGGCTCAGCTGCGTGGGAAAGCAGGGCTGCCTTCTCTTGCTCCCCCTCCATCCAGACTCTGACAATAACCGGGCAGATCCGGTGTGAGTTGGTTACTGTAACTGCTGTGGTGAGATGACATGCCGCCAGCCCTGAGCCACTTTCCTGGGGGAGTGGTGCTTGCACCCAGACAGCTCTGGAGGCCAGCACAGGGGTGGGTTCCCACAAATCTGATGGCTGGGGTGGGAGAACTGGCATCCATAGGCAGACACTCTGTGCTCCCGGGGAGGAGTTCCTGTCCCCATTCACAGCTGGGAACAGAGGCAGGCCTTGTGTCCAGCCGTGGCATACAACAAAGGGGTGCAGAGGCACGGGATGGGCTGCTCTGCCTTGCTTGTCTGCTCCTTCCTGTCACTGAAATCGCTCCTTTGGACTGGGCTCACATCTTGCCTCGTGGTCAGTGGCCTAGGAGGACACTTGTGGTTCTGGCCCTATTTTCGCCCCTTGTCCCTCACCCCCAGGGGGCCACCTAGGCCAGTATCCATTCTGATTGCCATCATGCCCACAGGCTCCTTGGACCCTGGTCAGAAGTTCCTTTGGTGAATGATCCTGCAGACATCACACGGGCTCAAAGGGCATCAGAACCCCAGCTGAGAGGAGCCTCAGTATCAGGTACAAACCTCTCATTTTACACATGGGGAAACTGCGGCCCAGAGGGAGGCATGAGTTGTCACACATGGGGGCAGCATCATTGGAAACTTGGTACTACCACCCTTCCTGGCACAGCCACCCCACCTTGGGCTTGGATTCCTTTTTGCTCTTGAAGTTGAGGTTCTGAGGTTGGATAGCAGTGTCCAGATGCAGGTGACTTGTGCCCCAGCGCTGGGCTGCCTGGCTGTGTCCTGGGCTTGTCTGAACCCCAGTCTGTGCTGGGCTGGAACCTGCTCTAGAGGTTCCCAGCTCTGTTCCCTTCACCCTCCACCCTAGCAGACCCTCAGGCCTTTTTTGTGCTCACCCCCCAAGCTCCCCTTGGATTCTGCTCTGGAGTCCAAGGCAGCTCCACCTGGGACCTGGGCTGCCACTTCACCCCCATTGCTCCTCTTAGTCTGTGATGAGGATATGTCCAGACCCCTCCCTTCCTGAGAGCTGCAGTGGGTCTTAGAGGAGCCCAGCTCTGCCCCATGGGCTACCCTGGGGAGGTGGAGACCCATCTGATACTGTCACTGCAGGGGTTGCCCCATGTGGCAGCTGCTCGGCCAGGGCTGCCCTGACCCATCCCCAGCTGTAAGTCCCGTGTCACGTCACTGGTGTGCACAGGCACTCAGCTCTGTCAGCTGTGAGTCCCACATCACGTCACTGCTGTGCACAGGCACTAAGCTCTGTCAGCTGTGAGTCCCGCGTCACGTCACTGGTGTGCGCAGGCACTCAGCTCTGTAATTGACTTTGTCACCTCCACATCCTTAAGTGTTTGGTGGCACCAGGACCCGGCAGGGCTGACGGAGGGACCCCTGGAAGCTCAGTTAATTCTCTATGTCCAGCAAGGATGGGTGTGAGGCCTTGAGCACTGAGCGTCGGGGAAACCACCTGAGGTGTTCCTCCCAAACAGGCGCCCATGGCGGTGCTGTCCCTGCTGGTGGGCACTGCCTGAGCTAAATCCCCGTCTCACCTTCCCGGACCTTCACCTGGCTTCAGGGCTCCTCAGCCACCCGCATGTCACTGAAATGTCAAAGAGCTTGTGAGGAAGCTTCTGGGGCACCTGCCTTCTAGAGGAGGCTGAGGGCAGCTGTGGATGGTTATTTATGGTGATGTTTTTGGCCTGGGCTGCAAGCCGGTGGGTAAGTGGCCCAGGGATGGCAGCTCAAGGTGCCCCGGCTTCTCTGCATGCCTGTCAGTGGAGGAGCCTGGACCTGCCACTAGGCTCTGTCCTAGCTTATTCTCTGTGTGTCCTCAGGTGGGGTACCCACCCTGTCTCTGCCTCAGTTTCCTCCTCTGGGAGACGGGGATCCTAACAGGTCCCCCCTCTGACAGTGGTTTTGATGAAGTGCATGATGTGGGTGAAGCACCCGGAGCGCGCCCACTCTTGAAGAACGCACCACGGACTCTCAAGGTTCATGTTGAGAAGGGGCTGGGGTGGGGCAAAAGTGGGCAGGCCATTTCAGCTCCAGGCACCTGGGCTGACAGATTGGGTTAAATTAGCATGTGCCTTGCTGAGAGCACAGGGGACAGTTGCCCAGACCAGAGGCACCAGGTCAAAGCTGGTGATGCCTTGGCCTTATCACCCTGGCAAGGGCCAGTGCATGATGTAGTCGGCCAGGGGTGGGCTCGAGCCTTGCAGCCGAGGGGGCCTGGTGACCCTCACAAGGTCGTTCACAGGCCACTGGGGTGGCCTGTCCTTTTCCAGCCAGGCCTCACTCTAGGAAAAAAAAATGGATGGTTACCTCGTTGGCAGTTTCCTTTGCGTGGAAGTGGGAAGTCACTGCTAGCGAGGCTGGTGATGAACTCCGCAAAAGCTGGGAAATGCGGTTTGAGCAGGAGCGCCCGTTATCTTGGCCAAGCTGCTGCAGCTGGGCTGGCGGGTGTGGAAGTGTGGGTGGTGCCGTGGCACTGCTCAGGGCCCAGGCCCCTCAGAGCAGAAGACCGGGCCGGTGTGCAGTCTTGGGGTGCTGGCTCCCCCAGTGCCCAGTTGCTGATGAAACCTCAGCCATGCCCTAACCCCTTCCCACCCGCGGCAGAGGGCTGTGTGTCTTCTGAGGGTGTCAGGAGGCTCAGGTCCTGGTCACAGTTCCAACATGAGTGTGAGAGGCAAATTCGGGGCCTCAGTTTCTCGGCACAGAATGCGGGGAGAGATGTCTGTGTTCTCCAGTGGGTGGCTCAGGCGAAATCCTGGAGGAAGAAGCCTCCAGGAGGATAGGATGATGCAGAGATGGTGGCACCTTCAAGGCCAGGGCCAGCTCCCATCTCTGCTCCTCCTCCCGCTGCTCCTCCAGGCCACCCCTCTCCCGGCTGGGGGCCCAGGAGGAGAGGTGTCTGAAGAGACACTGCACCCCACCCTGGGTCCCCTGCTCTACATTTTGGGAAGAAGGAATTGAAGTCTGGGACTCAGGCTGCACTGCCATGATCATGACAGTCGTCCTCATTGGACACCAGGGAGGTAGCTGCTCTTGGCATTATTGAGTGCCCAGTGTATGCACTAGGCTGTCCATGCATCTCCAGAGACCAGTGTTTTCTTGACGACTTGACAGAGAGATGCTTAAACTGAGGGCACTAGGAACGGGACAGGCTGTCGGAGTTTCCAGATGGAGGGACTGACTCGTAAGTGAGTGCACCTGGGCTGTAGGGCCATGAACTGAGGCAGTTGGCTCCCCAAATGAGGCTCCTGTGGACCACTCAGTCCAGCCTGCTCCAGGCCTTTGCTCCTCACCCGCTCAGTGCCGGGCATTGGGCCATGACGGGCTGGGCGATCTGATACCTTGTTATGCCCCTTCCTTTTATGTTTAGACGCAGCCGCCCAGCCTGCCTGCTGCAGTAGAAATCGTACAACTGACAGAACGGAAGCTTTGTGACACCAAGGTACCAAATTACAAACAGCAACTAAGGCCATGCCAGGCAAGGGTGGAGTCACACACCCCTCGACTTAAGGAATAAACTGTTCTGATTGCCACAGGGTTTTCTTTTTCTCTAGCAGCTAAATAAGCACTGTTAAAACCATGGTAGCTCAGCACCAGGCACGGACTAACTCGCCCCCAACCCCTGTTCTAGCAGCTGTAACTACAGCTCTGATGGGACAGGAGATTGTTTTTAGTAACTTTCTTGTATTAAGAGCCCACCCACCATGGACTGCCAGGTTTTCTCATATGTCCTAATTGTGGACCAGCCCAGAAGTTAATAACCCTTTTCATCTGGGCCAGCCCGCCCAGGTATTCACAGCTATCCTTGTCCTGATCAGTCCTTCTGTTCAAAGCTGCCTCCCGGCCCAGCCAGCGGCAGTTTTCAGGGCCCAGGCCATGTGTTCATAGCCGCCCTCTCTGAGAACACCCAAGTTCCATAGACATCCTCATTGTGTCCAGCTGATGAGCTGCTCCCCGGGGGCTCAGCCCAGGTGTTAACCATCCTCAGTGGGATTAGCCCAGTTGTTCCCAGCGGTCTTCATTGGGGTGAGTCCAGATGTCTGTCAAGAGTCATCCATATTGGGGTCGTTGAGGTGTGTGTTCATAGCCATCCTCCCAGCACAGGTCCACAAGATTTCTTGTTAGAGGTGAATGTGATCCTGGGCATCATTTTTGGGGAAAAATTGGCCTTTCTGTGGGCCTCCTGCTGCTGGTCAGGCTGCCAGTAGCACGTCGCACTTCTTCCTGTGTAGAGGGGGTAAGACTCCCTTCACACTTTCTCCTCATGAAGCTGAAAGTAGCCAAATTCTCCTTAGAAGAGGAAGTTTTACTGCTTCTTTGAGTAAACATAGAGTCAGATCTTTCCAGTCTCAAAGAAAGTTAGATTTGTTTCACTGGAGTTATTTCTCCACCCAGGTCGAGTGGAGTGTGGAGTGGCTCATTACCCATGTCAACCAGTGGCTCTTGAATTGTTGATGGGCAACACCACTAAGGTGCTCACGCAAGCCACTCTGTGTCCTCCCAGTTCCTGCTGAGGATCCTGGAAGGCTGCCAGTGAGCTCAGATGAGGATGCCCATGGCATTTGAAGGTCAGGCCACCTGGTTTTATCTGAGAGAAAGTTATTTTCTTATTAAGATCTGATCATATGTATCATAGGTGACTTGTATGGTGTCCTTGGTGGGGGAAATGAATGAGCGTCTGTTCCACACTGAGGCTTGACTAGCAGCAGAAGGAATGATACTCGGCCACACACTCGAGTGGCCGTGAGCTTTCCCCTTAGCAGCTTGATTCTCCCCTTTGGGCAAAAATCACTAACTGCCAAGCAACATGTCCTTGAGAGGAAACATCCTCCAGGAAAAACTTTAGCATGAGTCGGTTCGTTCTATTCTTCTGTGTTCCTTTGAACACGATTTCCCATCTGGTTTTCTAATGTCACCAAGTGAAGAAAAAGACGTGCACACAGGACACAGGATGGTCTGAAGCTCACAGTGTCTTTCTTCTCTGTAAATGCAGGCCAACAAATGTGCCAAAGAAAAAGGTGTGTGTGTTCTGGAAGCACTGCTTTCTTAAGGAGAGAGATCTTTAGTGTTGCCAAAGGTAGCACTTCCTAGCCTGCTTTTGCGGAGAGCCACTTGGGTTTGAGCTTCCTGACAGAAATGAGGTTTGGACAGTTCGGTGTAGAAAACACTGAGTCCAATAAGAACTGTGACCATCCACTGGAGTCTAGGGGAGGCAGGATTACCAAGTAGATGGAATGGTGTGCATCGGGGTGGGGAGGGAGGCAGAAGTGTCAAGTAGATGGAATAGTGTGGTGTGCATCGGGGTGGGGAGGGAGGCAGGATTGTCGTGTAGATGGAATAGTGTGGTGTGCATCGGGGTGGGGAGGGAGGCAGAAGGTTGGAGCAGATGGAATAGTGTGGTGTGCATCTGGGTGGGGAGGAGTGATTGGGAATGTCTGGGGAGTGCATGTGCATTTCCCCAGAAAGCATGTTTCCCCATGCAGAGCACAACCCAGGGAGCACTTTTCTTAAAAATTGCATCACCACTGCACACTTGCCATAATTAACCCATTGATCCTCCACCACAGTTGTCCCTGTGAAGGTAAATTGTACATCCACACCGTTCAGAGGTGGTACAGAGATGAGTTTCCCAGGCTTCCGATCTCCTAAATGGAAGAGGCGAATGTGAACTCAGGAATGGATGGAGGATTGATGCAATGGGCTACTGTTGTGCACTCACCAGCCAGCCCTGGTGTAACTCGTCATGCCAGGGAATTCTGGCATCTGTCTGTGTGTGGAAGGATGAGAGCCTAGACAGGCCCCAAACACTGTCGGTGTAGGGAGGTCTCAAAGGTTCCCTAACCCAGGGTAGGAATAGTTACATTTTCCACTGGACTTTGGTGTGATCATTAATGTGAAACACACATAGAGAGCTCACAGGCTGTCAGCAGCAGTGGTGGGGTCATTTCTCAGTTTGTGGTCAAAAGCAGAGAATAATCAGGGACCTGCTCTATTGTTTAATAACAGGATCATCACGTTTCCCAGAAATGCTCCAGTTGGCCAGGTGGGTGGCTCACACCTGTAATACTAGCATTTTGGGAGGCTGAGGCAAGAGGATGGCTTGAGTCCAGGAGGTGAGATCAGCCTAGGCAACATGGTGAAACCCTGCATCTATTTAAAAAAAAAAAAATTAGCTGGGTGTGTGGTGGTGCACTGTAGTCCCAGCTACCTCGGGAGGCTGAGGGGAGGATCACTTGAGCCCAGAAGGCACAGGTTCCAGTGAGCAGAGATCATGTTACTGCAGTCCAGCTTGGGTGAGGTGACAGAGACCATCTATCAAAAATAATAATAATAAAGAGGAAAATAAATGCTTTGTTGAGGAGTAAAAACACAGTGAAGACCCAGCACCGAATATGGCTTCAAGGAACAACTTGGGTGCTAGCCTACCACCCATCTCCTGCACGCTGGCTGTTTGGGGAGGGTCCGCACCCCCACCTGCTGCTCTATGATGGACTTCTGTCCTGCAGTGTCAAAGTCCCTGTGAGTGTGAGCAGCAACGACTCCCGACGACACAGACATTACTGAGAAGGCTGAGTGCCAGGACAGATAGCACTTGCTAAGTAGGAATTATCTTTAAATGAGAAGATATCTTCGTATTTTCAAAGCTTTGTTTTATTATCTTTAAAACAAAAGATTAGTGAATATATAGAACATTTTGGCTAGAATGAAATGTTCTCTTTAAACAACAGTTTCTTTTTACCGGCATAAAAATATTCTAGAATGACAGATACACACAGAAGCACCACAGGTGGATCAGGAGGAAATGACCTTGAAGGACTCAGGGAAGGGAGAGCAAGTGAGTTTGGGTCCGATTAGAGGCAGGAGCCCTGGGAGAGTTGCAGGGACGCCCAGCCTGGCCCTGGGTGCTGCGCTGCCCTGTTCAAGATGGGCTGTTTTACCTGATGAGGCGTGCCTGGGGCTAGAAAGCTGTTTTTCCCCAAGTTCTCCCTGCACCTGCTGATGGTCACACTTTGTCTTCCTAGATTCCACCGAGGGACCCAATGGAGGAACACCTCAGAGAAGAAAAAGGAGGCCCCATGGACTCCCTGCATTTGTCTGAGGAATACAGTTGCTTTCTCAGCTTTTTATCTTTCTGGAATGAGCCTACGAGATGAGAATCTGACTGCATGTATTATAGATCTACTTACACCGTGTCCTTGGTCGGGTGAATTCTGAGCGAGAGCCTGTTCCCCAGTGAGGCTTGCTTTTGAATAGCAGGATAAAATGACAGCATCAGCCACGCATTTGGGTGTGGGAGTGAGCTTTTTCCTTAGCAGCTTGATTCTTCCCTAAACAAAATTACGAAGGTTGCCACATGGACTTGAGGAAACATACTTCAAGGAAATTGTGTCTGTGGGTGCGTGAGGCGGTTTGTCCTGTTCTTGTGTTCTTTAGACTTTAACACACAGTTTTTCATCTGATTTTCTAATGTCACTAAGTGAAGAAATTGGTGCACACAGGACACAGCACAGCCTGATGCTCACAGCAATATGTTTTCTGTTATTACAGGAAGTTTCAGGAGTCAAGGAGAACGGTGTATGTGGGGCAATCCCTCCCGTGTGGATGAATAATCCAGGTGATGAGGAATGTGCCACTGTCTCGCTGGCTTTCTGTAGACAGGCAGCCGGAGCTGAGCTCCTGCTGTGACTGAGGACCCAGGCTGTGGTGGGAGAAGTGGTTGCTCCAGGTAAGGAGAGAGACGGGCACACTTGCAGTCCCTGGGAACTGCTGCGTTCTCTATGTGGGGTGGCGTTGTGTGCATGGGGCTGGCATGTGGGCCATAGGTTTAACTGAGGGGAGCCCTCACAGCTCTGACAGGGCAGCTGCTTCACACTTGCTGCAGCAGAGGTGGGAGAGGATCCAGTTCCAGTGGGATGAGCTAAGCAAAGTGGGAGAGGGGGCTGCCCCAGAGGCTAGTTGTTCCTTGCAAATCTCCCTAGACCCATGTCACTTTGTTTGTTTCTGTGAGATGGGGCTTGGACTCATCAGTGCCAAAGTTCAGGACTCTGCCACCCATGGGTGGAGGGATCCTGGCCATGGCTGGTCACTGTGAGGGTAGGGGTCGTCCCTCCCTGTTCCTTCTCATACCAGGAGCTCAGCCCCGGGCAGCCCATCTTGGGGCCCCAGTGTCCTAGGTACACACAGCTTGAGCGCTGAGATAGACCACGCAGTGTGAAAAAGGGCCTTCCTGCTCACCCCTCTGCAGTCTGCTGAGCCCCACACATTTCCAGGTTCCTGTGTGTGGATTCTTGATTCAGGTCAGGGGGAAGTGCTGGCTCCTCTGTCTGGTTGTTGTGGTCCTATCTGCTCCTGGATCGTGAAATTAAGGATTAAAATAGTAAATATTGTGTGTAGCTCACCATATTTTAAAGTCCATTAAAAATAACTGCAGTAGGAGCATAGGTAGGGGAAGGTTAAATGACATAGTAACATTTTTATGAAAAAGAGGATATTTACCAGGCTTCTTTCTGTGAGGAGAGCCTGTCCTGGAGTGATGTCCTGCATTTGTGTGCTGCCTGTGTGAACACACTGTCTACTTCACAGTGATGAGGTGGCTTAGCCAGAGACCCAAGACTCTGTCTCCTTGTGCTCTCCCTGATGGATACTCCCTCCTCCTTCACCACCAAGGAGGGTGTGGCCCAGCAGCAGCTTGGCCTCGTGCTCACC